CTTCTTTACAGCAGTTATAAGTACAATTATAAATTTACCTCTTTCTCTAAAGTTACAACATCACTTTCTTCTTTCTATAATCTATCCGGTCTAATCATCAAAACCATAAATCATAAGTTCATTTTTTCTGTTTTATGCAAAAAAATCCATAAGTCAAGTTCCATCATCTTTACCAACCATTCATTCATTGTGGCTATTGCCGAGTTAGTGTCACTTCTGAAAGTCTGACAGGCTGGTATTTTCAGCGGGTAGAGGTTGGTAAAGGTAAAATCTCAATTTGAGCCCAAGTTGTGGTAACTGCTTAAACAAACATTGCTTGAAAATAATCTGGAAGTGGTTTGCTACTGCCTTCTTCCAGGCTAGTCTGCAACCGTGATATTTCCTGATGATCTCCTATCCCAAGTACTGACCTGACACTTAAAGTACAACAGCAAATTTTACCATCTCAGCTTTCTAGTTCTGCTTTTACTCATTAGTAAAATGTTAACTGTATTGATATAATGTGCCTTAGATAGAAGGAAATATGGCAAAGAGTTGTCAGGGTGCTATACCATAAAAATGTAAATGAAGCCTGTATCAAATCAGATCAGAAGCAGTAAGTAAAACAGTCAGTTTAAAACATAAAAGGATGATTTACCAGGCATCAAAGCAAGAAGAGCGAAATGAAGCCCTGTAGGAATTAAGTATAAATAGAGATTTAATTTGTTAGCAAAATATATACAAAAAGAAAAGAATTGCTATTACATCTGCAGTAAATTCATATTGATTGATTATTTTATTTATTAAACATATTTCTATGCCATGTGATTGCCCTGTTCAAGAGGTCAGCCTGCCTGATGAGATCTCTTCCTTGTGAATCCATTCCGTATCTCCATTCTCATTACCTTTTTATTAAAGTATTTTGAAGGGATCATTGCCTTAAGGTGTTATTTCAAAAAATATGTTGTACTTTTGCAGCCCTCTGAGTATCCTCTTTGACTTTTGATACCGCCCTCTTGTATGTGGATGCATACTTGGCAAATGTGGTTTCCATTAGTACGCTTTCCCAGTGATGACTACTTGTGTATCTGCTTGGAGGTGGTTGGTGTCAATTCCCATGTTGTCTGTGGGAGAAATGTGGTATTATTAGATTTGTCTGGAATGTTATAGTGCTAAGAAGCAAGCTGCTGTCAAGTTAATGACAATGCCATGCCTCTACATAGAGGCATTCTTGAAATATTAGATGATATTTGATCAAATAGAAGTTGCCCAACGGACTAGCTGTTTAATTATATTTTACTGGCTGATTGATTGGCATGCCAGTTCTATGTTTGGCTATACTGACCCTATACAGGTGCCTTCCAACATGCAATGATGCTGCATATAAAGGAAAGAGACCGATTACACTCTGCCATTTCTGTCTCTGAGGCTGCATGATCCATGTGCTTAATATCCTCATGCACACATAAGGCTCTTGCATGATTGGGAAGGAGCCCAATCCCATCAAAGGCCTTCCCCCTACATATTCTAAAACTGCAGGTGTTAGGGGTAAACACTCCTAGTTCATGATGACAGTGAGCAGGTGAAGATATCTGTATAGGGATGCTCTTTGTTGCTAACACATTGAGAGCCCCTAATTGAAAGTCATAAATGAAAGTCATATTTAGATACTCTTGGGAACCTCTATGCTCCAACAATTCTCTAAATTAGACTTCTGGGGCAGAGAAAATTGATAGTGTCTACTTATGAATCCATTCAAAATCTATGGTACGTAGTGTCTTATTAGGTCAACATAAGGTTTCATTATCTGATTTTTAAAATTTTGGGGTACAGTATTGCAAACTGCTGGAAGAGATTGGACTCAGGTTGTGAAGAGGGAAGTTTGGTTTGATCATACTGAACTCATGAAGTCTGCATGACCAAAGTCCAAAATAGAATATGGGAAGAAATTTCAGGCATTGAAATTATAGGTTCTTCCTGCTATTGAAACAATTTCAGGTTGCAGCTGGGATTTCTAGGGCGGTGGTGTAAGAAATAGAGTAACTATGTTGATTTTTCATTCTTAGCTATACATTTAAATCCTTGGACGTTTTCTTAAATTAACTTAAATAGTTCCCCTAGTACAATCTTAAGCCTCATAATATTCTACAGATGTTGTTGAACCACACTCCCATTACCCCCAGCGTTGACTGTAGTGATTGGGAAATGAAGAGAATTGGAGATTCAACACATCTGTTGGGCCTAGCAGAGAGCAGGTTTGTTATGCTATGATAGTTTTATAGAAAAGGAATTACATTCAGTTTATTACTTTTTTCAGTAAGTACTTTCACAAAATGACTTACTGAAGTATGAACTAAACTTTTCAGTTTACTCTGTATATAAATATTGTAATTTTTAAAATGTTTTTCAGGAAGTTGATAACTTGTTGCGTTGTGGGATATGCTTTGATTACTTCAACACTGCAATGATAATTCCACAGTGTTCACATAATTGTAAGTATAGAAATGGTTTCCTTCCTCCTGCCCTTTTCTCATAATTATGCATTTTTATGTTTTTTTATTCTGTTTCTCAGCTGAATCTACCAAACCCATGCAAAATATAACAAAACAATAAAATGAACGGAACTAATCTAAATTAACAACAACAGTCAGATGTTGACGTTTTCTATTTGTTTAATATTTTAACTACTTCCAATCAAATCCAAAGGTAAGACTTAACGTTTGTACTGAAGCTAAACACTGGAAACTTAATAAGTGTCTGTGATATTGGAATTTCCTAAATTATAGAAATTAATGGCCAAATTGCTGATCTATCGCATTTCAAAGTAGCTCAGCTATATACGATTGCTATTGTTGCATGGTTTCTTGAAGTATGCATAAAAAAAGAGAAAGTGGGCTACCAGGAGCCAGTTACTTTATTATTCCCTAAAGTCATGATATCTAATACATAATCTAATAGTTTGAGTTCCTGATGTTGACTTATAAAGAAGTAAACGTGAAAATGTATTATTGTCCAGCTTCATTCTAAGCATGTTTGCTTGGGAACAACTCCCAGTAAATTCAATTATTTCTGAATAAATATGCTTTGACACCTCAAACTGTGCCTAGGGATATGGGATTATAGTCTAATACTGATTGATTAATCAGTTTGAGTTATACCCTGCCTTTCTTCTCTTATGAGTAGTTAAGATGGCTAGCAAAATTTAAGAATGGAATATAGTTAAAAATACAGCTCAACATAGACAATAAAATAAATACTAAAATAATCTAACAATTAAAAGTTTGGCATAAGATATATGTCTTTACAAATGCAGCAAATAATGAGTGACCATAGGGACGAAATGCACTTCCTGAGGGAGTGAGCTGGGAGTGGTGCAAAAAAGCCACTGCTGCAGATTTCAGCAACCATACAGTTTCATAATAGGAGAAGCTGTCCTTGGTTAGGGCCTAAATTCTTTCGGGTTTTATAGTTCAACACCAGCACTTTAAACTGTGCCCAGTAAACAACTGGCAACCAGTGCAGAACTTTCACTGCAGGTATAATAGGATCACTGTATCTTGATATTTGTTTATTTATATATATGATTTATATGGCTGCCCAACTCATGAATAGCAACTCTGGGCAGCTAACATAAAATCAAAATAATGAATAAAAAGAAACAAAAAACCCAACGTAAATACAGCACAATTGAACCCAAGCTGGAAACATAATCTAATCCAACTATAATCCAACCATATAATCCAAACATAATCCAGTCCAACTGGATAGGTTCATCTAATTCTCTGGTCCAATGCACAGGACCAAGGCTTATGGAAGGCCAACAGTGTTGGGGCCAACTGGATCTTTGAGAGGGCGGTACACTTTCAAAGGGTAGGTGTTGTGATAGAGAAGGCATGCTTCCTGGATCCTGACAGATTACACTGTTTCATAGAAGGGACCCTAAGCATGTCCACCCTGTTGGATTTCTTGGGAGAGGCAGAGATGATTGGAGTCAGGCAAGTAACCCAGCCCTGTACAATGAAGAATGTTATAGATAGTAATAAACATCTTGAATTGTACCCAGAAGCTTATAGGGAGCCAGTGTATCTCATGAAGTAGTGGTGTTACATCAGGGTCTGATGGTATACCCATAACTATCCACACTGCTGCATTTGGGAATAGTTGCAGCTTCTGGATGGCCTTCAAGGACAGTCCTATGTAGAATGCATTACAGTAGTCCAAACTGGGGATGTCCAAGGCTTGGATGATCATAAGCAGGGCCTCAGTTGAGGGGTCTGCTCATGATCTTGCTTGGATTAAGCTGAAGCCTGTTCTTCCTCATCCAACCTTCCACAGCTTCCAGACACTAGGAAAGAACCTTGATGACCCCACTTGATTGTCCCAGGTAGGCCTACCTATTACATTTTATACCACCTGCAATTTTGGGGCAGTTTTAAGGGATAGTTCCAAATAGAACATGTTGCTATACTCAAAACAGGATATAATCAAAGTGTGGATAACCATCATCTAACGTATCTGACCCTGAAAGGAATGCAGTTAGCACACTAGATGTCATGATGCAAACTTGCTCCACACCATGGCTTTTGCCAATGAATCCAATGACAGGTACGGATTGCGGAGCACTCCCAGACCGCAAATCTGTTTTTTCAAGTGGAGTACAACCTCATCTAAACAGGTTCCAACGTAGTTCTCAAGTTCAGTTTCATATTTACCTACAGTAGTTCTGACTTTTGTGGATTTAATTTCCTATTGTTTTCCCTTAGTGTGTTTTCAAGCCCAGACTGTTCAAGAGTACCTGTTGCTTGGAACTGGATGATTAGGAGCAATTGCATTTGGTATTATCAGCATTCTGACAATGTGTGACTCCAACTCACCAGATGATTCCCCTCCCCCTCCCCCAGCATTTTCATGGGGATGTTGATAGCATGGGAACAGTGTGGAAATGGAACCACAGTAAAACGTCCCCAGGGTCCAATCCTGCCAGGCAATTCAGAAGGTTACTACAGTTGATGGAAATTAAAACTGTGGTCCAAAAGAACTAGCAGAGCCATGCTCTACTCATAGAATTTCTGGCATAGGACATCCACCAAAGCAGTTTCAGTACCATATTTCCATCTAAAATCCTTATGGGAATGGAGGAAGAAAAATAAGTATCATTCAGTTACCTCTGGAGGTATAACACTACCACTTTCTCAGTGACATTTCCCAGAAATGGAACTTTTGAGACTGGCCAATAATTACACAAACTCCAGGTCAAGGGAAGATTTGTTCAGTAAAGGTCTGATTTCTGTTTCTTTTAGGTGGGGGTGAGAAACACACAAGTATGTCTTGCTACAGTAAATTCTATAAGCTAATTATGCATCTGACGGATATTTTTCCTCCCATTAAAAATTGCAGTCTGGCCTGTCCTTTCTTAACCAGATGCCTTCAAGATATGTGGGATTAGACTTGCTATCTTTTTCAGCCAGCATGGACAACAATTAATTGTACCAAAATTCAATCAGTCCAGCTTCAGGTAAATGTGATTGTGAGTTCTGTAATGGATGCTGAATATTGCTACTGCTACTTCAGCATCCATAATCTTAAAGTTTTCTATAGCATCCTTCTCTGAACTAGTCTTCATATTCTCTGTTTAAAAATACTGCATTGCCTTTTTATGCAGTTGCACTCAAGAGAACCTTTTAAGATGGAGGAACTAGAAACTGCATGTAACATCATTTCTGTGTTGCAGATCTACAACAGCTTCCACCCCCCACCCCCCTTGGTGGCCTTCAGCTCTCATGATTCAGTGGCTTTCAGCTTTCATAATTCCCAAGCAAAAGCCATGTATGTGGGCTTTTTACAAAACAGCTCTGTGACAAACCTGCTATTTGTAATGCCGAATCAACCTCTATTTTAGGGAAAAAATCTTTTAATTTGCTAAATTATTTCTAGCCTTGGAGCATACTTTTGGTCATGTTTTGAGCTGCCTGACCTTCTGATTATTTTTTCCTGGTGTGTAATTGTAAGATATATTTCTGAAACACTGGTGGAGTATTTGTCTGTTCTGGCTTGGTGGTTCAGCAGTTGAGTGCTGTAATTAGTTTTGTATGTACAGTTCTTCAGACAGAAATCTAACAGAGTGTCATTGCAAATACAGAGCAGGCATAGTGCTGAAGACTGTCCTTTGGGTTCAGCTTCAGTGTTTATCTCAGGGTGTATTCCAGCTCTTCTGAGGCATGAAGATTGAACAGCATGTAGATCAGTTGTGCATTTTCTAAAATACCTCAGTTCTTGGAGGGGGGATTTTGAGGCAGACAAATTAATCTCATTTATAATCATACAGATAATAAAGCTTCTTTCTTAATATGGATTTTAATGATGGCATTTTTCATTTTTAATGTTATTTGTGTGATCAGTGATGTTAAGGTTGAACAGGAGCTTTGTTAACATCTCCTTTGCTCTGATCTTAAGAGATGATGTAAATAAATCAGATCTTACATTTGCATTTTCAACAATATAAGCAGAAACAAGGAACTGGCAGCTAGTGGTGGGCAGCTCAATTAGGGCTCAAAAATTTTCAGGTACAAAATGTTTTCACATCTCTTTCAGCCACCGTGTATCAGCATTGGACTAGATGACTAATATCTTTCATTCTAGAAAATACTTCCTGGTTAGGATGTTAATAAATGAACAATAAACATTCATATTATGCTTGCCTGGATGAAAAGTTGGTTGATCTTAAATTAGTCCATTTTAAATAAATGACATTGGAATGTAATGCATAGCTGTCAGCCCTGCAAAATCTGGTCTTTGCTTCCCTTTGATTTGTTTTTACATAACTTAGGAAGAGAGAGCCTGACTTACTGCAACTACAACAGCTGCTATTTGTTGAAAATGCTCAGGGAGTATTTTCAACACTCTGTTTTGGTCATATTATAGGAAAAAGGAATGGCAGTGTATGTTTTGCTTCCCCAATTCAACTGTAAGATTAATTCCCCAGGGAATTCGTATAGCAAAACATGTTGTAGGAGTGAGGTGGCCCAGATGAAAAAAAAGTCAGCAGTTAATATTTGTGGATATGGATGATGGACTTTTTGAGTGGTTGAGGGGACTGAAAAAATCATGTTTTCTATTGCTTTTACATTCTGTCTTATAGCTCTATTAAGTAATAACAGAGATTTATTATGTGCCATCGAGTTGGTGTCTGGAGAAAATGTATCTGTTTTCTCCAGGAGGGTCTGTCCCCAACCTGGTCCTTCAGGTCTTCTAAGAGTGCACCTATTGCTGCTATAATTGAGTCTTTCCACCTTGCTGCTGGTTGTCCTCTTGTTCTTTTTCCTTCATCCTTTCCCAGCATTATAGACTTCTCCAGAGAGCTAGGTCTTTGCATAGTGTCTGAAATATAATAATTTTGGCCTGGTCATTTGTGCCTTGAGTGAGAATTCTGAGTTGATTTGATCAGTAATCCATTTGTTTGTTTTCTTGGCTATCTGTAGAATTCATATGAATCTTCTCCAACACCACAGTTCAAAAGCATCAGTATTCTTCCTATCCTGCTTCTTCAAAGTCCAACTTTTGCTTCCAAAGAGTGTCACAGAGAATACCATTGCTTGCACTATTTTGATCTTTGTAGGTATAGACACAGCATAGCAGATATATTTTCCAAAGCCTTCATGGCTACTCTACCAAGTGCTAGTCTATGACATATTTCTTGACTGCTGGTTCCTTGAACTGTTGATAGTTGACCTTAAAGGCAGAAGCTATCCACCACCAGTATATTTATTGTCAACTCTAAGGCTGGTAGCTATACCTATTGTCATTAGTTTGGTCTTCTTTATATTTAATTTTGGTCCCATTTTTTCATTTTGTTCTTTCCATTACTAGAGCTTCCAGATCATTTGCATTTTCAGCTATCAGAGTACTGTCATCAGCATAGCCCAGGTTGTTGATGTTTCTTTCTCCACTTTTAAAACCACACTCATCTTCTTCAAGTCCATCTTCCCTCAATATATATACCGTGTATAGGTTGAATAAATAAGGGGAGGGTATATAGCTTTGTCTCACTCCTTTACCAATCTGGAGTCAATCTGTTTCAACATGTTCTAGCTGGACTGTGGCTTTCTGATCTGTGTGCAGGTTTTGCATAAGGACAATGAGAAGTTCTGGGATTCCCATTTTTCTAAGCACATTCCACAGCTTGATATGATCAACACAATCAAAGCCATGTCTATAATCAGTGAAGTACATACTGACTTCATTTTGGTATTTTTTGGTTTTCTCAGTTATCCAGCATGCATCAGCAATAATGTTCCTCTGCATTTTCTAAAGCCAAGTCAATCATCTGGCATCTCTCTCTCTCTCCATGTGGGACTCTATTCTGTTGGATGATACTAAGGATTCTTTTGCTAACATATGAAATAAGGGATGTTGTATTAGTAGCTTGCACAATCTGTTAAGTTTCCTTTCTTTGGTATAGGTATGTAGATTGACCTCTTCCAATCTGTTGGCCACTGTGTTCTCCAGATTTGCTGATACAACGTAGTTAAAACCTTTACTGATTCTTCTGTTGCTTGCCATATTTCTACTGATATTCCATCAATTCTGTGAGCTTCCAATTTGGTAATGACTAGAGGATCTAGTTGATCTAACTTCATCTTCTAGTACTAGAGGTTCTTGTAAGTAGGGAAAATCTTCTAAAGTATCTTGGATGTTGACATCTCTGCTGTACAGAATTTCAGTATACTCTTTCCATCTTTGATCTTTGAATCAGTTGCTGTCTGCCTATTGGCATGTGTTACTAGCTGTCCATTTCCTTTAGCATACCAATTGAAGGTTGGAACCTCCTTCTGAGTTCAGAGATCTTTTGGAATACTTTCCTTGTTTCTCCATGTCTGTTTTCCTCTTTGATGTCTTTATGGATGTTATATAATAATGCTTCTTGTCTCTTCTAACAGCTCTCTGAAATTCTTAAGTTCCTTCTTGAGATTCTCTTTGCAGATTCAGTTTTTTTCCCCCTGCATAGCAACATCAGCAAATAGATGTCCCAAAGGCTTTAATCTAGCCAAGTCATAAACACCATTAGTACTCTGAAAGATCCACAGCTCTTCCTCAGTAGCATGTTGAGAGCCATCTGGCCTGAGGGGCCCATCATCCAGCCCTATATCATTAGTCATTTTATATTTTCTATCCATATGGTTTTCTTGGTGAAATACAGAAATAGTTTACTATTGCCTTCTCCTGTGCAGTATGAATTGATGCCTTTGCCACTGTTGCTAAAGTGATCATCTGCCTCCAGCATCTTCCTATATCGCTGCTACCCAATATAGATGCCTGCTTGCTTTAGCTGGGCAGCTGAGATGACCTTTACACCTTGGGTATAGAAACCATGATGAGGAAGCACAGTAGGACTTTCGGGGGAATAATGGAGATTGTGTTCAAATTTCTACTCCACTGGAAGATGTACTTCAGTATAATGTAACTGAATAGAATATGAATTGGTGAATTGGTGAAAGTGTCTAGCAACTGACTTAACAGTGTAGAAGAATGACTTCATAAATATGTAATGAACATTAGAGGTCAGAATAATTTTTTAATTCAAGTAGTTATTTGATGTTTTAAAATATAAGAATTGGTTACTAAAATAATTGACACATTTGAATTCCAAGTCCTGTTGGGATATTCCTCCATGCTTCGGATGAAAATATGGATGAAACAACTCACCTCTTGATGATGTAGAGAATGACTATGTGTGAGCAGTTGCTCTCTGCTCATGGAAAGACTTCTGAACAGAGCGTAAATAGAACATTTATGCTGCTGAGGAATATATTCAAATTCTCTGTACTGTGCTTTTTGCACTAGGACAATTATATCCACTTAGAGAAAAACAGTGAAATTAATGGATTTTCAAGGGCAATAAACATACTACCTGATTTGAAGGCTGAGATAGGTGTGCTGAACTGTGACTTAAGTGCTAATTACGTTTTGTAAGCAAGTTGATTATTACTGGCCAGAATAATGTTTTCCTGACAAATGAAGTAAATTCTACACTGCTTGGTTGATAATCATAAATGCTGACAATTTATACTATCATTAATAATACTCAAAAAAATTTTTATCCATGACCTGTTATGTGATTTTAAAAAATGGGTAATTTTAGAGACCTGGACTTTCTTCATGGTGTTGTGTTTTATTTTTTGTTTGGTTTGATGTACTTTCATGATGGATACTCAATTCTTAAGATATCAGGATTTTCTCCAGCCATTCTATATTTGTTGGTCTGAAACTCAAATTTCCTTTAAAACCAATTTATAACTGCACTGTATTTTTAAATTAAGGGATTGCTTTGATTTTCTTAAAGAGGCCCACCCCCTTTAATATGGTTAATTTGTTACATAAAGACTAATCCTCCAGATCTGGGCTGCAAAAATCAGAACTTCTTGATGGTGGCAAAAAGTTAGAATGATTGTAGGTGAGTTGAATAATAACAGCAGCAACAACAATAATGGATAGTGTGTAATGAAAGAAGAATGAGGCCACAGAAGAAGTGAGATTGGAATGACCTGGTTGCTGGTGAAGCTGAATAGAGTGGCTATTGACTGGAAGGGTGGCAGGCAAACATTACAGAGTTGGAAAAGATGGCAGCAGAGTATAATAGATAGAGTTTGGTTTTTTGGAGAGATGGGGTGACCTGAGTTGCCAAGAATGGTGAGTTTGTGTATGTTGCTGACCTGATTCCTGGAGCCACAAGGAGGATTAAGTTTCAGATTGGGGGAGGATTAAGTTGCATATTAGAGGAGATGGTGAAGCATGGGCCATCTCTAGAGTCCAGAGAAAAGCAAAATAATGGTGGAGAAATGAAAGGAACTGGGGCACTGTGAAGCAGAGAGAAAAAGACCAGGGCACAAATGGGCCAGGAATGAAGGAGGAATGGTGTTGGTGAGAAGGTAATTAAATGGAGCTGGAGGACAGGAGGAGGAAAAAACAAACAAACAGAAGATCAGGAAAGATTATTACAGTATTTTGGAACAGCAGGAAAACAGTCACGAGCAGTGGGAGGTACTTGGTTGATGAGTTTCTGATGATTTACAGTGCCGTGTTTTGACTGTTGTAATATTATGTATTGTTAAGGGTCTAGTTTTATATATTGATGTTTATGATTAAGATTGTTTTTATGATTATTATGTTAACACTGTATATCACTTCTGTGAGCTGCTTAGAGTCATAATGATTGAAGCAGCAAAGAAGCATCTGAAATAAAGATGCTTTATATCTGTTTTGCCAGCCTGTCTTATCTAATTTCCTCTACTGTACTTCGTGAATATAATTATTGTGAGAAATATTTACTTACTCATTTGGATGCAGAGGAAAGATTTTAAAAAGTGCTAACAGAATGAAAGACATTTTGAAAAGTATAATAAAATGAAAGAAATTTTGAAATGTGTCCATAGAAGATCAAATCTCACAATTTGCACTGTTGTTAGATTGCTCTGTTTTGCTTATGTTTTGGGTGTGTATGTTTTTTCCTACAGATTGTTCTCTCTGTATTCGCAAGTCGCTGTCCTATAAAGCTCAGTGTCCTACATGCTGTGTGGTAAGCGTGCCTTTCTTTATCATGTTTAAGAAAATGTTTTCAATTCTACATCTTACTGCCATCTATGCTGGATTAGGCTTTTGAGCATAAAATGTAGAAGTACGCATAGGTAACTTTGGAGAAGGCATGCAGGAAGAATTAAGGCAAGATAAGCGGCAACTCAGTCCTGGGAAAGGAGAAGGTGTGAGAAAGGAACTCAGAATAGCTCTGCCTTGCATCTGTTTTGCATAAGGGGGGGGAAGAGGGAAACTCTGGCAGCCTTTCAAGCTTCTGTTATACCTTACAACAGTGTTGTCCAAATGTGGCCACTTTAAGATGAGTGGACTTCAACTCCCAGAATTCCCCAGCCAGCCAGGCTGGCTGGGGAATTCTGGGAGTTGAA